TTATATACATAGTAGTTTATATATATATTATTGTATTTTTTTAAATGTAGTTTGGGTTTGATCCCATTAGCTTACTCTCTAAAAGGGATGTTTCAAGTATCTTAAATAGGCAGATGTTGTTAAGAGTTGTGCAAAAAATGTGCCCAGTTTGAGGTATGATTGAGCTACAATTATGCTCATCCATCCAGCCATGCACATATATATGTATGGTATATATCAACATATGTATGTGTGATGTATATGGAAATGGTCCATCAATATTATATTATGCCTCAGCTTCCAATTCTTCCCCAAATATAAACCACTCATGCGTCATGAATCACGAGTTTTCAGGACCTTTTGAGGGATAGGATTCATTTTTGTACGGAGTATTTATTTACACAAATTAATATCCATCTCTCACATTACTAGTATGTAATAAAATTTGCACTAAATAAGACTAAAAATAAGCCATTTTCCAATGTATGACTTATACTTTTTTATTTCCTAAATAGTACTTAATAATGTTTAGTGATGATGGACATTTACTTGAATAATGACTAATGGATAATGACCGATGGTCCTACGCTGGGAAACAAAAACATATAGTCTTATATTGATAAAATCATTATGTTTTAGTCCTATTTAAGTAAATTTCTCAATTAGTATTCACAAGATGATAATATGTTTTTTTTTCTTGTATATTTTTTATTAATTATTTGATAAAATAAAATATTCGTATTATGTTGCTTCTTAAAAAATACTTTTACCTCTACTAATTCTTACTCTATCTATTACTTCCTCCTTTCCAAAAAAATGTTCTCATTTTAACTATTAGAAAATTTAAGGGAGAAATATTTTTGTGTTGACTTTCCAAAAATATCTTTGATAAGATGGGTAAAAGTAGAATGTGATGTGCAAATTATTAATAAAAAGGCCATTATGATGTACTACCTCCGTTTCTCAAAAGAGTTCCTCTTTTGACTTTGGGGGAAAATAAGGAAGTGTTAAATTGTAGTTGACTTTCCAATTTTACCCTTGATGTGATGGGTAAAAGTAAGATGTGATTGTTTAGTTGTTAGTGAAAAAGTATGATGTGATAGGTAGGGTATGAAAAAGTAGGGGTAAAAGTGGTTTTTTAATAGAAAGGGGAAGTGTTTTAAGAAAAACAAAAAAAATGAAAGAGGAAGGGTTTTAAGAAATAGAGGGAGTAATAGGTAGGTTAGAAATTAGTTTGAGTAAAAATGGTTTTTTAAATATAAATGGGAAAGATTTTATGAGACAAGTAAAAAAAAAGAGAAAGAATTTTTGGGACTCAGGGGGTACATCATAGCTTTTAATTTATAATCATATCATATTTTTACCTATCACATCAAACATATTTTAAGAAAGTCAACAAAAAATGTCTTTTCTTTAAACTTCTAAAAAGTCAAAATGAGAATATCTTTATGGGACGGAGAAAGTAAATTCTAGAATTTGACTTCATCAAATTTAAAAAAAAGTAGGGAGTAGTAAAAAGTAAAGATGTAAGGAGTTTAATTAAAGTTGGAATAATACTACATCATTTAGTTTCATTCTTTTGAAAGTAATTTAGGATTTTTGACTGATATTATTTCAAATTCTTTTATTTAAAATCTGATATGGTTTAAAGTTTAGGTCTATCCAAATTTATTCAAAAAAATCAAACTGAATGAATATACTAAGATGTTGAAATTAACTAATTAAATATTGAGGATGTGATTGGGGTGAATTTAGTAGTTTAATGAAGGTCGCATTGATTAAGATAAAATATACGTGCTTGGAGACTTGCAACCTGACGAGTAGATCGTATGTGTGTTCTTAATTTGATTACAAATTATGCTTTACGAGGAAAAAATTTTTACTTTTTGAAATTATTTTATTTATAAATCGGTATATCAATAAGAAATAAAAATTACATATTAAAAAATTAATCAAAGATTCTACAAAACAGGAAGTGACAAGAATATTTTATTTTATCAAATATTTAATGAAACTGCATAAATAAATACTCCCTCCGTCCTATAATATTCTTCCCACACACTTTTTACCCGGTCAAACTTTAATCACTGTCTTTACCTATTTTCATTAGGTATTTGATAAAATAATATAGTCTTGTCACCACTTGTTATGTAGAATTTTTGATGTAGTTTTTAAATATATAAATTTTATTTTTTAATTTTACACCTACAATCAAATAAATTGAATTGAAAATAAAGTCGGTCAAACTTCGTAAAATGAACCGGGAATATCATTATAGGACGGAGGGAGTAAAAATTATCGAGAGAAGAAAGAAAAAAATTATAATCAAAATGGGGACGGATGGAATTGCATTTTCCATAATTATATATACCACTCATCAGTTTAACACTTGAGTGTACAAATAAGTTCTTATGGTTGAATGTCAATCTATCGTACTTAAATACTCCGTATGCTGGTTTTGTTAAGTACTCCGTATTTCATAAACACTTTTGCATTGTTTTGAAAAACTCTGATAAGCTATCACATGTTTTGAAACGTTGAACTCTGAATAAAATGATTTTATATTGTTTGAATATAATGACTAATAACATCGATGCCTCTCATGGTTTACAAAATGAGAGCATTCACAATGGCAAGACAATGCCTTGCCTTGTCTAGCCATATCAGCAAATGTCACCCAAGTTATGACATTCCATGGTCATTTCATCCCACTTTTCATTATATTCCATGTGCAAGGGATGACTCTCCCATTTTTTATTTTTTAATATTTTTAACTTTCGGAAAAAACATTTTTTAAAACAAGTAGACATATTTTAATAATAAAATAGCGATGTGTAAAATAATTTTTGATAATTAAAAATTATTAAAAAGTGCAAAAATTGACAAAAATAATGACTTACCACTGTATGTTACGACACTCCACTCATTTGCCACACGGTAATTGGGTTATTTTTTATTGGTTGAAATATTTCATATCACCGTGTGACATTTCGTTTTTGGCTTGACATTGCTAATGCTCAGAGCACCTAAACCCCTTCTCTTTTGTAAGAAGTATTTGCACTAAATAGTACTAAAACACTAGTCATTTTTCAATGTAAGACTTAAATTTTTTTATTCCCTAAATAGCATTTAATAATGTCTAGAAGGAGGAATAATGTCCAGTGATAGTAAGTACTTACTTGAATAATGACTAATGCATAATGACTAAAAATGCTACATTAAAAAATAAAAACACATCATTATGTTTTAGTGATATTTGGGTAAATTCCTCTTTTTGTAATAGATAAAACTAAATACTGAATCTCTTGTCGAACTCATTAGGGTCCTAGTTTTGCTTCGATTTCCAGGCAAAAAAGTAGGGGTGTGCACCGGTCCAAAACCGGACCTGACCGGAACTGGAATCCTTTATTTGCAAGGACCGAAGACCGGACCTGTTGGATACTGGTCCGGACCAGTCCGGACCTGAATTTTCTGGTCCGGTCCAGGTTTACCCTATCATGGACCGGATTTTAAATATAAATGACCTAATTTTCATTATAAAAAATTCATATCTAAATTCTACATGTAAATATATATATAATACCATCAATTCCCAAATTCATAACAATAACAATTCACTAGGGAATGCAATTGTTAAATTCATAAGTTCATAACGCTACAAAATCCATGAAAAAAATCTCAAACCAAAGTTCAAACTTCAAAGAAAAAATTAAATAAAAAATACTTAAATTAATAATTGAAATTAAGTAACATATCATGCTAGGAGCATAAAAGATGTGAAAAAAGAAAAAATTTGAAAGGATAATAGTCTAATGAATTAACTATTTATTTTAAAAAATTAATATTTTATTATATACCGGTCCGGACCGGACAATTCCGGGTTTAGACCGGACCGGACTGGAACCCAGAAATCTAAATTTTGGAGGACCGAAGACCGGACCTGAAAATTCCAGACCGGTCCGGACCGGTCCATTCCGGTCCGGTTCAGGTCTAAATTCGAGTCTGGACCTGTTAATGCACAGCCCTACAAAAAAGGAACATTTTATCAATTACAAGATTTTTTTTTTCGTTTTTTAGCAGAATTACAAGACTTCTTAATTCTTTTTATCTACAATTGGGAGAGATGTACATATATATATATACACAGTTGTGATCCACATGATGATCATCATCACCATCATCATCATGATGATCATCTAGCAACTACGATTTTGCATTGTTCTGAAAACTCCGATAAGCTGTCACATGTTTTGAAACGTTGAATTCTCAATAAAATGATTTTAAATTATATTGTTTGAATGACTAATAACACTGATACCTCTCCTCCCTCCTGGTTTACAAAATGAGCAACCAAACATAATCTCTTTGAATGATACTCCCTCAATCCCTAAATAGATTACAATTTTTTGTTCTCTTTTTTCTCGATAACATTTGTTTGTTTACGCGATTTCATTAAGTATTTAATAAAATAAAATATTCTTGTCACCTCTTGTTTTGTAGAACTTTTGTCGTAATTTTTTAATATGTAATTTTTATACTCCCTCCATCCCAAAAAGTCCGACACGTTGCGAAAAAATTGCGTCCCGTAAAGTCCGTTACATTTCTATTAAAAAACCACTTTTACCCCTTACTTTTTCATACCCTACCTATCACATCATACCTTTTTTATAATAATCTACCCATCACATCCTACTTTTACCCATCACATCAAAGATATTTTTGGAAAGTCAACATCAAAATATCCTTCCCTTAATTTCCCAAAAAGTCAATATGTACCAATTTTTTTGGAATGGATGGAGTATTTTATTGAGATACTAATTTGTAAATAAAATAATTTCAAAATATAGAAAATTTTACTCCGTAACCCACAATTTGTAATCAAATCGCGGATGGAGGGATTAAAAGCTAAATACTGAATCTCTTGTGATAGGGGCATTAGAGTCCTAGTTTTGCTTCGATTTCCGGGCAAAAAAGGAACATTTTGTCAATTACAATTTACAAGATTTTTTTCATGTTCTTTGGTAGAATTACAAGATTTCTTATATTCTTTTTATCTACATTTGGTAGAGATTTTACATATAAACAGAGTTCCTTGTGATCATCATCAGCAACTACGACCGGGGCGGCAATTCAAAGCGCCTGCGAATCTGGTCAACCAAGTCACTTCCTCTCCCTTGAAAGGAGCTATGCCGTCGTACAGATTCGGGTGCTTCCGCGAGAAATTCGGGTCTCCGGACTCCACAAAGAACGCCCCGTTCATGAACAGATCTCCCTGCGACCTCCACGTCCATTGCCTCCACTCTCCCTCCGTCGCATAATCCCTCTTCGTCACCTGTAATCGAGTAATTGGTCATTTTTAATCTCTCCGTCGCAATCTCTCAAAATTGCGTCCCACAATCTCTTTATCATTTCTATTAAAAAACCACTTTTATTCCTTACTTTTTTAAACCCTACTTATCACATCGTACCTTTTTCTTAAAAATCTACACATCACATCCTACTTTTACCCATCACATCAAGGGTATTTTTGGAAAATCAACACAAAATTATCCCTTTTTTAATTTCAACTTTAGTCAAACCGTCCCATTCTTTTTGGGACGGAGGGAGTATATATATACATACCTCTTTCTTGAACTGATCAGGAGGGGCAATGAAACGGTTTCCCTGGCTGATGATGGTGGGGTGCTGGCTGCCGCCGATGGCGTACATGTTCCAGTGGGTGTAATCGTTGTTGACGACGTGAATATACCCCCACCGGCACCGCGGCATCCTCTGCACCAGCCTCTTCCCGAAGTGGTTGAACGCCACCGTGATCTGCATGATCCGGTCGACGGAGGAGCTGTCCCTGGCCCCGAACAGCATCACCTCGTTGTGGTCCGTGAAGTGGCCGTTGGAGATCGTGATCCCCGTGGACCCCTCGATCGCGTCGATCAGCCCGTCCTTGCAGTTCCTCATCGACACGTGGTCGATCCATATGTCCGACGACCCGTAGATCGAGATCCCGTCCCCGTCGCTCACCGTCCGGAGCCCGATGTGGTCCGCCGCGTCCCGCACCAGGCCGCCGCTCCCCTGCACGATGTCGTGGATGTGGAGGCCGTGGATGATCACGTTCCTCACGAACTGGAGGGTGATTCCCGCACCGGCGGAGATGTGCACCTGAGCTCCGCGGCCGTCGATGGTCTTGTGGCTCTGCACGATCAGCTCCTGGTGGAGCCGGATGTTCATGTCGCGGGCGAAGACGATCCAGAGCGGCTCCTTCTGGATGACGGCGTGCCGGAGGGTGCCGGGCTTGGGGTCGGTGGAGTCGTCGGAGTGGTCGGTGACGACGTAGAATCTGCCGCTCTTGCCGCCGGTGGCTTTGCGGCCGAACCCGAGGCCGCAGTCGGCGAGACGCTTGCGGTTGGTTTCCCAGTGGGAGTGGCAGCGCCAGCAACGGTCGATTGGGTTGGTGGCGTTGCACGGGCCGGTGTAGTGTTTGGTCCCCATTAGCTTCCGACCAATCGATGTTGTGCCGTTGAGGTTCCCTTCTATCACCGCCTTCATCCACTCTAATGCCCTGCATGCATCCAATATATATAAACTTTAATTGGTAAAAACAAATTTAATTTATATATACTCAATTTGTTTAATGTAAAATGTAATATAGTAAGATTTATTTTAAGATTTAGTTTTGCTATTTCAAACTTTTAACACTGAGTAAATAATTATATACGGTTTATAATTATTATTTGCCCTGTCCCAAAATTATATTCCAACTTAGGGAGCTGCTATATATTTATGTCAAAATTTTTCTTCTTTATTTTCATTGATCATATGTTAAAATAAAATAGTTTTGTCATTTTTTTTATCTGCAGAATTTTTTATTAGTTTGTCATTATATAAATGTTATTTTTTAAATTTTGGCATCAATAAATAAATAATTAAATTGAATTGAAAATTAAGATGTGCAATCAAACATTGCAAAAAAAAATAGGACAATAGTTTCGAGACGGATGGAGTAATTAATAATTAAAACATTGTACTGAGTATCGTGAAAAATCAAACATTAAAAAAATTTCTACAATGAAAAGCTTTAAGGGTCCGTTTGGCATATGGAATTGATAGAACTGGAATTGAAATTCTATGGGATTCAATTCCATAGATTTGAATTCACCAATTTCAATTTGTTTTTTGCACTTTCAATTCTAAATCCACATAAATTTTGGGCAACCAAACACCAGAATTGGAATTGAAATCTTCAATTCCAATTCCAAAGTTTGAATTCCGTGTACCAAACAGGGCCTAAGATTTTATAAGAGGCAGGGAGGGAAACCATACGACTGGACTTCACGGTTGAGAGCGTCGGTGACGTCAAAGGGGTCGGACTCGTATGTATTGAGCGCGTTTTCTCGGGCTTCTAACATCCGCCTCCGCCACACCTCGTCCAAATCTCCACTTATGTTACCATTCGCAATGGGAATTATTTTTGCAGCACTGCTCAACAACAACAACAACAAAACCACCCATGATGAACCAAATCCCCCCATTTTGTAACTCATTTTTTCCCTATATATTTACAGTTTTTTTTTTGCGACAAATAAAGTTTGTCGCCCTCGAAGAACGAGCAGGAACTCTCTGTTCCCGACCAGACTTACCCTATAGATCGTGAAAGTGATCGGGGTAAGTTGGTCGTGAACAAATCATATATGATGAAGGTATTGTGGCTTAAATGGTAGCTAGTATTTGTTCCTCAAGAGTGTGTATGGCAGGGATATTATATGCCATGTCCGAATAATTGGGAAGACCACAAATTTTCCAAAGGTTGCAATGACATGAAGTACGTACACTAGCCATTTCTCTACCACCATTTTTTTTAATGAATTGCCATGCATGTATATATCGTGATTTGTCTCGTACTTAATGAACATATTTTTCTCAAAAACAACAGTGATGATAATTTGTTCTCTCTATAATATATTGACCAATTTTTTAGTTTGCAGTGTTTGAATCCAATTTTCTACAAATTTAATTAAAGTATTCATATATGTACTGTGAGGATCTTTGTGATAAGTAGAAGATATCAGTTTGGATAAAAGTTAATAAATTCTACCACTTGATAGTCAGACAAGTTATGCCATATGACAGCAAATTTAGTCACTAAAGATAGTCAAGCAATCAACTCTCCACACTTAAATCATCGCGTGCTCTTAAACAATCAATTAAGAGCTAGAGACACTAATTAATTAAGACTAGACATTTGCCCTCATGTCAATCTATGCCAAATGAAAGAATGAATATTAACCAAGACAATCAAGAAAGCTTCACAAATTGTTATTTATGGAATGAAAACCAAGAGAACACAAGCTCGCATAATGACGGTCTTATGGCCACCCAACCCTTGGATTGAGCCGGCTCTGTTGAAAAGAAATGGGGACAAAAAGGATGGAATAATTGTATTATACTCCGTATTAGTTATTATTTGTAATTCATTTATGAGTTGTTATTTTGTGGTCTTAAAGTCCGTATGTAAAATATGGATATTCTGTAGTGTATTTTTTTAATTAGAAAAGGCTCATTTTTATGATATTATTGCACTTAGGTCTATGAAATGAGAAGGGATTTTAGGACTATGTAAGAATTTATCTTTATTTTATATGAATTTGAGAAGAACTTGAGGGGTAAAAGAACAAAAGATTTATGGAAATTCAAAATTTGTTGAATTTAATATTGATAAAAAAAGAGAAAAGTATTATTTAATTTGAATGGATGAAATAATTGGGGGGCAGATATTTTATATGAATTTAAAAAGAACTTGAGGAATAAAGGAACAAAAGGTTTATGGAAATTCAAAATTTGTTGAATTTAATATTGATAAAAAAAAGAGAAAAGTTCTTTTTAATTTGAATGGATGAATAATTGGGGGGGCATATATTTTATATGAATTTAAAAAGAACTTGAGGGGTAAAGGAACAAAAGTTGTATGGAAATTCAAAATTTGTTAAACTTAATATTGATAAAAAAAGAGAGAAGTATTATTTGAATAGATGAAAAGAATTGGAGAGGAAAAAAAGATTAAGACCTGTCAGAAAGCTAAGGGGCCATCCCAGCCCACAACAAGGAGAGCTGAGAACGATCCTCTGCCATATAAAAAAAGAGAAAAGTATTATTTAATTTGAATGGATGAAATAATTGGGGGGCAGATATTTTATATGAATTTAAAAAGAACTTGAGGAATAAAGGAACAAAAGGTTTATGGAAATTCAAAATTTTTTGAATTTAATATTGATAAAAAAAGAGAAAAGTTCTTTTTAATTTGAATGGATGAATAATTGGGGGGGGCAGATATTTTATATGAATTTAAAAAGAACTTGAGGGGTAAAGGAACAAAAGTTTTATGGAAATTCAAAATTTGTTAAACTTAATCCTTTACTATAATATTTGAGACTCGTCGCACAGAATTTCAACATGTGGCGAGTCTACTTGGCATATTTTTAACAAGTCATCTGCCACGTATTTAATCTTGAGATTTTTTCCAAAACATGCATTTGTGGGGGTTTGAATCCAAAACCTCCTAGACATTTGGTTGAGTTTCTAGCCATCCAAGCAAGGTTGATTTTTATTACAAGTTCACATAACCCTTTATGATATTTCATAATTAAAAAAAATTGTATAAAAATTCCTTTTCAATTTAAAAAATAAAATTTTATATATAAAATTTGAGAGTTGGCTTTCTAGAATTGTGACATGTGGCACGTTTATTAAACAATTTTTTTAACAAGTCAAAATGACATGTTATCAAGTTATATTTAAGGAATTAGTTAACAAAAAAACTTATTCAATGGAAATTAAATTTTGTATTTGTTACACTCAAATTTATCAGCATAATCGCATTTAAAAACTTTTATATCTTAATTCATTATTGGAAAATATTTAAATTAAATAATATATTTTGAAATTGAAAAAATAACTCATATTCAAAAACAATAATCAAAATAAATAAATTTATTCTAAGAACTGATAGATTGGTAGGACTAAAAGAAATTACATGTGAATATTTTTTTACTTTGAATTAATACTAATTAGAGAGATATTCCAACTTTGAAAAAAGAGAAACAAATATATAAAAGAAAAAGGATTTTTATGGGCATGTTTATTTTATAGAGAAATAATTTTATATCATATATATTAAAAAAAATTCTAAGTCAAATAACAAGTATGTTCCATTTTAAAATTAGTATTTTCCATTTTTTAAATTATTATTTTCTATTACTAAGTTTGTAAAAATTTATAGATATGTTCCAAAAAATTATGCTTTTCATTAATAAATTTTAAAATGATGACGACTTAGTATGTAAGTATTTATGTGTAAGAAATTAATTATTAACTGGTGTTCCTAATCGAAATATTTATGGTATAATATTAACTATTATAAGTGTAATTAGTATTAATTAAAATTCTTGAAACTAAAAAGGCATGCCTATTTTGACATTATTTCAAAATAAAATAAATAAGTAATATTCAGGGCTGTCTCTGATAAATGAGGGACTCTGTACGACAGGTAGAAAATGGGCCATTGTGTTATAATAAAATAAAGTCTATTCATTAATTTATTTAACAATAATTAACATTATATTAATAAGAATAATATCTAGACCCTACTGTAGTAAGATTCAATTGGGTTGTTGTTGTATACTAATAAGAATAATGAAATATCGAATTCATATTCTTCAAAATCTAAGGAAACTTCATTGCTTTGATTTTGGTCCGTAGGAGGCGATTGAGAGGTTTGGGAATTTTTTTTTTATCGTAGATCTATTTTTTTACACAATAAATTTTAGCCCTCCTTCCTAGGCAGTGTTCAACGGGATTAGGTTCTATTTTGGTAGGTAGTAAAGCAAACATGTACATATGTATTACTTTTGCAATACATATGATGGTTATTACACATACAAAAAGAGAGAGGTCGTCATCAGTTATAACCTTGCATCATCGAACACATTCGAGAAAGAATGTACTCTATAATGTGACAAATGGTATTTTTATTATTATGAATTAAATATTTAATTTTTCCAGTAATTTTTTCTTAAAAAAATCTATACAGTGCTCCGATCTGGGAATAATTACACAATTCATCATGCTTTTAAGTGCATAAGAGACATATGGATCTATCTTCTATAACACATGTTTTATTTTCTTTGAAGATGATAATAAAACAATTACCTTTGTGTATTAACTAACTCTATGTATAAGGTATTATAAACAATGTAAGAAAGTACTCCGTATTACGTAAATTAATATAGTGGATGCACTTGAGGTTGAATTTTCATCTCCCATGGCTAAAATTTGTAACCTTTAAAGATAAAAAAAAAGCTAAAAGATATTGTCAAAGAAAATGTTGACAAAGCTTCAATGTTTGAAGCTTGGATGATTTCCAGTACACAATATAATGCGGGATAAAATTTGATGTATGCAAAGAATTTCCCAATTTTTTTTGTACAATCATAAATTAAAGTGCGGAAATGGTTCCGATGTAACAAAGGTCATTAATAGGCAGACTACAATACATGCTTACGAAAACCAGAGAGTTGTACTATTAACTGTCCAGTGAGGATGTACAAGCTATTAGAGCTTGCAGAGAGTTAACAATGTTCTACATAGCGTATTTAAGGTAGCATGTGAAGCATTGGGGTTATTAACCGATGATAAAGACCTTATTGAAGGTATAAAAGAGGTTGCTAAGTTAGGATTTAGGAATATGCTAAAATGTTGTTTGTCCACATACCATGCGTCACCCATAAATTGTTTTGAAAAAATTATAGGAACTCTTAGTGAATGGAATTTTATTATATCGAATGAAAATATTTTGGAATCAAGGTACTTGAATATGAAGATAGTTTTTTAATGTATTAATCCATCTGAAACACATTATATGAAAACAAAACTCTTTAATTGAGCACTGCATAGAAACAAATAATTCTTTTTTTGCAGAGCTTATAATCTTATGAGAAGACCTAAAGAATTTATGTCTAATTGAGATTGAAAAGTTGCTTAATTGAAATGTACGACCTTTAAAGGAATTCAAGTGCATGCCATTTGGAGATGACAATCAACTTAATAGATATCAAAATAGTTTTTTGATAGAGAAGTTGAACTATGATTAAGAAAAGTTGTCATTTGATCTTAGAGGATATTTATCTACGATGAATGAAGATCAGTGGAATATATCTAATGAAATAATGGAAGTCGTGATAGCTGAAAGAGGGAGTTCTTTTTTGTCAATGGTTACGGTGGAACTAGAAAAATATTTCTCTAGAAGTCATTGTCTGCTTCTCTAAGGTCAAATGGTAAGGTTGTCGTGAATGTCGCATCCAACTACATTGTAGCATTGCTTTTGCCTAGGGGAAGGAGCGTCGAGATTTTTAATCCCTTTGGTGCTAACCGAGTGCTCATTTTGTGACAATAAACAATGGAGTCCGAAATAATCATATGAGATTTACCATCTACGATGCATATATTCACTTTTGAGACATTGGATTACACAATGAGAGACGTAATGAGGTTCTCCAATAATAAATTCTTTAATGAACCATTCACAGGGAAAATATTTGTACTCAAAGAAGATTTATCCAAATTCTTTCAGTTTTACTCATAGCTTTGAGAGAGGAAATTGTAGGTGCTACCACCAATTCCTCACAAATGTAGTTGTATGGTAAAATTTATATATTGATCAAAAATATGAGATTGCATTAATCTAAACCCTCTTACACAGATAAGGACACATAAGCTTTTTCTGATTAGATATCAAAGTCAAAGATTGAAAACTTAGACAAGTGATCGATGGAACTGCTGACATTGAAATTAAATTATTCTGCATTCTTGATTCTTGAAATAAGTTATCCCCTCAAGAGTTATAGTGGACTTCACTTATACGAACCTATTAGAGAACATGAATTTTTTTAGGATAGTGCACTTTTAGCATCCGCACTCAAGTTTGTTGAATGATAATGAATTTTTCATATCCCTCATGCACATCCGATTTAAATGTAGCTGTTGAAGACAATTGTATAACACTTGAGTTTTTTTAATTAAATCAAATATTCAGGGATCCTAAACCACAAAAAAGTTTTTTAAAAAGGGGTATTGACTATATCATTGAAGAACATTGACTAAATATCTGGATTGTGTAATGATAGAAGATTAATCTTTTAGAAGTTGAGAAAGAACATTATCACTGCAATTGAGATTTCATGAAATCAATTGAGAAAATGATTTTCTTACCCCGAATGAATTTGGTATCATCTGATTCAAGACTACCTAAGAAATTCTAGAGAAAATAATTCTTAATAGTTTTATATTTTACTATGACTATTAACAAAAGTTAAGGTCAAACATTATCTTTTGTTGTAGTATTATTTTTAACCAATTTAGTATTTAGTCATTGGTAGCTTTATGTTACTTTTTCACGAATGAAGGCAAAAACATGATTAAAAATTTTGGTTCTATATAACAATGGAAACCTTTACAACCATACCAAAAACATTGTGCACCCTAAAGTCTTTCAAAAAATTGGAATTAAATAAAGTTTTTTCGAGTACACTTTCATTTCCTCAGGGGGCCATCCCAGCCCCACAACAAGAAGAGCTGAGAACGATCCTATGCCAAAATAAGAGAAGCCATGCCCATAGTTGCTACTCACGCTCTGGCCCATTAGCTATTTCTCATCAACCAGGCTCGGTTTCCTTTCTCCTTAGAGGAAAGGATTCGGAAGTACGGCCTATAGAACAGATCCTGTTCAAGTAAGGTCGTGCCCATCACTTCGAAGCTTTGCATTTTATTCTGGTTTTAAAGAGCTAAAACTTCCGGTGTGGGAAAACAGAAGATGGATAGTAGCTAGCTTTCTCTCCCCTCCTTCATCGCCAATGAAGAAAGCTGCTAACAATGGAAGTGCCTGATTAATTTAGATGCCTGATTAATTAAGCATGGGTGTGAAAAGAAAGAATGCTCTTTCTATGGTTTCAGGTCACTGCTCCCCGAGTTTTATACTCCGCCTGGACGCAATGAGAAAGAAACACACTTTCAACACAACTTCGACCCTCGAAATCAAACACGATTCTCTTTTTATAGGTGTTTTTTTTTCAAATATTCTTTTTTTATCTTCAAATTCTGGAAGCAAAATAAAAACATATACCAATTCTGGAAGCACTGATATAAACATATGAAAGTTCTAAGAGTTGAGGTTCGATTAATTTAATCTCTGAGTGTTTATGTAAACTCATACAATTCAGGGTGTAACGGAGTTATTTTTATTACATTAAATTTCGTATTAAAAGTGAATGATTTTGAGAAAAAATTACCTTAATATGTTGTTGATTTTAAGGTCATTGTTTATTTTGTGTAATTGAGTTTACATGATAAGACAAGAATTTAAATACATATTGTCGAACAAGTTGACAGGTGCGGAGTGCACACTTGTTCAATAATATTACAAATTAATAGCAGGGTTCCGGAGGCAGTATCCCACGTAGCAAGGTCCAATGGGCGGCAGCCCTTGGCGGGGTCCAATGTGCAGGGCCCCTGACCGATGTCAAACATAGACGTCTAAAATTGTTCCAAAAATCGCAAACAACTTTTTGTGCGAATGCTCCTTTACATGAATGAACATGTTCGTTCGTTCCTGTTCTTTTCATTTGTATAAATATAAATACGCGGGTATGGTTTATGTATTGATTTCGAGTCTAAAATAATTTTGATCTGAAAGTGATTTGATCAAATCTATCAAGTCCTTGATCTCTTTCTGCATTCACCAAATTCTTCCTCCATATAAAACTCCAACATAGGTCGGGCAAGTCAAATTCGATTTGATTTAAATTGTGTTAGCAAGTCATTTTAGAACCAGTTACCTAAATCTTTGTTCAAAATGTATTATTGTCAAAATAATTTGAAGATAAAAACTAGGGTGATCAATTTTTTCACATTTATAGTACTCTATACATTAAACACACTAGTATCACACTCGTGTGTTGCATGGGTCATATTTAAGTTACTAAATTATATTAACATCATTTTTGAATGTCACAAATTAGTATATAATGGAATAGAGAGATTTCATTTTTTTAAGTTATAAAATTTAAATGATTTACAATATTTGAAAGACTACTTTATAACTCATATTACTCATATAAATTTGTAAAAATACTGTCTTCGTTGCATATTAGAATCTTAAAAAAATATGATTTAGTACTCTTAAAACTACAACATACATTTGTCCATGACTAAAATATAAATAACATTAATCAAAACTCTGGTTAAAAGATTTGTTCAGAGTTAATTGTGTTGTTTTTTTTTTTCATTTTGTCAAATTGCTAATAAAGTGGAGATCTATATATATACTCCATAAAAACAAAGGAGCATGTATGAAAAGAAACTAATTTTTTTTGCAATGATTCTTTTTTACGGAAAGCGATACTTGTAGTGTCTCTGTTTTATGTCTTTTTTGTTGGCATTTTACTCCTTTTTTAATAACAATGAAAATAGTATTTTTTCATTGAGTAAAAAAACAGTTATCTTACACTCGTTAGACGACCTTTAAATATTTGTGTAACCGAGACTCGTTCTAAAATATAAAAAAATGCTCATTAGACAATTAAATTTTTGTGTCCAATTTTTTTTTAATGTTGGGTTTCACCAATTGCATCACTGGAATTTGAGGTGGTGATACCACTTTGTTGAGACCATCGATCACCAGATAAATATTATCTATCCACAATGCACAATGTAGACAATTTCCCCTAAATATTGAAAAATAAAAATAAAACGTTCGTGATTCTCAAATTAGAATTATTTATACATCTTATTCGTAATTTATGATTCCATTTAAATACTTTATAAAGAGACTGTTATTCGGGTAATTATTTTTTTCATTTAACAATAAAAGTGAACTTTTATAGAGAATTTTGATTTTTTGTTATTTTGTTCATTTCTTTTCATATTATCAAAAATAGTTAATGTTTTGGAAATTTTATTCCAAGTATATTTCATTACCCGTTGAATAAAATAAAAAATCCAAATGTACGTTATTATTTTTACACTTAGATTAAAATGGTAATAATTTTTAATTTTAAACTGAATAAAAAATGGTAATAACTATTTTAAATAAATTAAAATTTTAAACATAAAAAATGGTAATAAGTTTTAAATAAATATGGAAATTTTTTTAATGCTCATACGAAAACAATCATTTTTTTAATAAAAATAGAAACATATTCTCCTTTACCATATAATTATTAATTAATAGAATCCAAAAATACCATCGCAACACTTACCATTAACTAACGTAGCATTTAAATAAAAATAGAAACATATTCACCTTTTTGAATTACTATTTTTGGTGTTATTAAAAATAAAACATATTAATGTATTTTAATAAAAATAAAAACATTTTTAATACTCATACAAAAACATAATTTTTTTTAATAAAAATAGAAACATATTCCCATTTTTTACTTACCATTAATTGGCATAGCATTTAAATAAAAATCGAATGATATTTCCCTTTCCACTTTACTGTTTCGTTGTTATTAAAAAATATATTGATATGTTTAAATAAAAATGGAAACAATTTTAGTTCTCATATGAAATTCTACATTACCATTAATTATTAATTAATTACTATGTATTAGTTAATACTTCTATGAAATTCCTCATTTTTAATGTTCCTACAAAATTATCTTTAATGTATTCCATTTATCATTAATTATGGAGTACGGAGTATTAATTAATGCTTACTAAATTTAATGCATCCACATATATATAATGAGTAAAATGCATAACATTTCTATATATTATTCTTACATATGGGCAGGAAAAAATACATCTCTTTTTAAATATAATATAGATGCTTCATTGAATCGAATTTGACTGTGGTGTCATTGTAGGGGTAGAACTGTAGGCCCATTCACACACCACAATACACAATTTGCCAGGGATAAGCAAGTACTGAATCAATATGGAAATTTTTTGAAAAAATTAAACCGGAGCAAAAAATACCAAACTGATAAAATTACGCAAAAGAATCGAATCGTACTAAACCAAACGGATGATTCGATATTTGGGAACGATACGCGGTAATCTCCCATACGGAAAGATTACGAACCTAATATATGTACTAATATATTATTAAAAAATAGCCTTTTTAGATTTCTTCATGAAATGAAATATATGTTTTAAAAATTTGGTTCAAATTGCATTATGTGTAAACTATACTTTTATCTGAGTTTTAATTTTTTGTAAATGAAATAAAAATATTAACAAACATTTAAAATATTACTGAGTATTTTTTATCATTCATTTTCTTTTGTTTGTGAAGTATAAATAAAGTTTCATAAAAATTTATTAAATTTAATTATTCATTTCTCAAATTTTAATATTTCTTTATATAAATGTGATTTCATTTTTTTTTAAATAAAAGATTTTGTTACAGTTTAAAGCATGAGCTAGGTGCATACATATTCATCCTAATTTTTATCGAAACTAATATCAAACGATACTTCAAAATCAAGATCGATCTAATATAAAATCTCACCCCAAATCAAAATATTTGATTGGGTGTTCATCATAGCCTACAAATGCTTACCTCTACAATTCAAAAGTCCTTTGCTGGTGAAGGAACAGCAACGGGATGTGTGTCATTCCTACTTTTCTTTACCCAAACGTCAACTTTAAATCCGCACCGTGCCCGCGCAACCCCACGTCAGCATATTTCCACATCAACGGTCCAGATTCCACCCAGAACATCCGCTGGAAATTCGCGTTTCCAGTTCAAAAACTAGGGCTTTGCTGGTAGAGTCACACACCTCCTCTCTCCTACTGGCATTCCAAACCCCCCTTCCGAGCTCTTCTCCGCTTTTCTCGGCTTCTGTTCCAGCAAGCGAGAGCATGGGGAAAGGGCCTGGTCTTTACTCCGGCATCGGAAAGAAAGCTCGAGGTATGTCTTCTTCTCCATTAATGGCCGCATTGACGAACGTTGAAGCTTTCTATTCGTTTCGTGAAAAAGCCGGACACCGTCTCGCTTTGTTTCATTCTTTCTCTTTTAACGTTTTATACTGTTGAAAAATCGCTGATATCTTTGGTTTGCTTTCAATTTCGTTTGAGTAGATCTTCTGCACAAAGATTACCAGACGGATCACAAGTTCACAGTCACTACCCAATCGCCAACTGGAGTTGTGAGTTTCCTTCTAGTTTCAATCGGATCTGTTAAGTAAATGTAAATGTGGCTAGGTTTTTCTCATTACAGCCTGACAGTTGTGGATTTCTGAAAAGCTACAAATTCTGCCTCTATTTTGAGTTAACATTGATTTTGAATCGATGTCTGGTGCAGCATTTCAGGATAGTTATTGGAGCTGTTTTAATGTTCCTGGTTGATTTAAATTTTTAGCAATCTTCGATGTGTGTGTCTGTGTGCATATTGAGATTTTAAGGTCATGAGTGTGTTCTAGCATACTCATAGGTAATATCTTCTATTTTCATTTTCACAGGCCATAACCTCATCAGGGTCAAAGAAAGGAGATCGATTTGTGGCTGATCTTAATATTAAGCTTAAGAGCAAGAAGATTACCACAGATATCAAAGTTGATAGCAACTCAAATGTGAGTCTCTCCTTATACATTTGATTCACATATATATATAATACATGTATCGCTTAGCATGAACCAGGAACATTTGATTACACACATTTACTCTAATTTCTTCTGCAAGTCAATTTAATCAGAATGAGATTTTCTATAGTGCATTGCCGAAAATACGCCTTCCCCGTATCTGAAAAAAGTTACTTTTAGACTTACATATATAACCAGTCAGACGTAGTAACACCAAGGGTAACATTCAACACATCACCAGAAGAAACTACGGATAAATTGACGGACCTAGTAAACGGATTTATACATTCACCACGTACATTCAACCCGCCCACCCCACCCCACCCCACACCCCCTTATAGTGGTAGGGCCATGCCAGTTTCCTTACATGGATAAGTGGTAAAAGGCGGATTGTGTACCATAAGCAAATGGAATGGGAGGGTCCGGGGAAGTTCCCATATCCAGCTAAACCGAGATAAAAAATAATTAAGCGGAAGTCGGGTAGGATCCTGTAGGGCACTAGGGGATCTCTTGTTTTCGACAGTAAAGCAGAAAGTTATCTTACATAGTGAAAAGAACTGTTTAGCAATGCTTTTGCAGCAGTTGAAAACCATTCTTTTCATTTACTCTTCCCATGATTGAGTTGGGGTTCCTTGGAGATCGCCTCCCCGCTCTCGAGTAATGGCATGGTCTTCGTACACACCCTCCTCATACCCTACTTTTTCGAGACTTTACTGGGCTTGTTGATGTTGTTGTTGAGTTATAGCTAGGTAAACCATCCCTAGTAACTGATCAGTAATGGCCACTCTTTTCACGTTGGTATTAAGCAACCTGCATATAAGGTTTTATATAAACTCAATCAAAATGTTAAATGTAAATCTGTAACAGAACTACTTACTAATGTCGTTAAGTTTAAATCGTGTGTGTGTGTGTACAAACTTCTAATAATTTGGTGCATTATATTCCAGCTTTACACAACTATTACTGGTGATCAACTTGCTCCTGGATTGAAGACAATTTTTAGCTTCAGAGTTCCTGATCAAAGATCAGAAAAGGTAATTAGCTCTTCTATGGAAACTCATTAATCTCTGGAAATCTTTAGTTCTCAACTACAGAGTATAATGTCTGCTTGAAGTTTTGAAAGTGTTTATTCCCCTTTTGTCTTGGACATACAGATTGAAGTTCAATATTTACACAAGTATGTCGGAATAAACACCAGTGTTGCTTTGACAGCCAGCCCAGTTATCAACTTCTCTGGGGTCGTGGGAACTAATGATGTAGCTCTTGGCACTGATGTGGCTTTTGACACAAAGGCTGGAGCTTTTACCAAATATGTTGCTGGATTGAGCGTCACAAGTTCTGACCTCGTTGCCTCCTTGAGTCTGTAAGTGGTTTCTTCCATATCAGTTAGGAGTAACAAAAGAATCCATTTGTCCACCATCCACATGCAATTGTACACCTGCTTAGTAACTACTTATCCACCCACTATTTCTTAAAGAAAAAAGACCCTTAAGTCCGCCATACTCTCCAAAATTTCTAAACCTATCAATGGTCCATTTCTGTCAAGTTGTTTAAACTGCTGGTGAAGTATCATTCCATAAATTGATCAATACACATGAGAAACAATTGCTAAATGGATGTAGTTTAAAGTGATGGTTTATCATATCTGTGATGGACCGATTGGATCTGAATGAAATATAATTGGCAGGAGTGAGAAGGGTGACATGCTGAGTGCCTCCTACTATCACAACGTGAAACCATTGACACATACCTCTATTGGGGCCGAGGTGAAGCATAGGTTCTCAAAAGGCGAGAATACCCTCACCATCGGTACACAACACCAACTGGATCCGCTGACGACAGTGAAGGCAAGGGTGAATAACGCCGGCAAGGCGAGTGCCCTTATTCAGCGTGAATGGCGCCCCAAGTCCCTTTTCACTGTGTCAGGTGAAGTGGACACAAAGTCTTTTGACAAGAGCCCCAAGTTTGGGTTGGCTTTGACTCTCAAGCCATAATATTTGTGTTTTCTGGAATAGTTAGCTATAAGCTACTTGGGCATGATTAACAATTTACAGTTACATCCTCAAAGGGACTGTTTCTCTTTTTATGGTTGATTTGATTTGGCTGGAGGCTATATACTCTATAGGTGTTGCATCACAATGCAATAATTGTGGCTTGACTATCAACATTGTTCTGCTGCTATGCCTTCAGGTTTTTGGTTCTTACATTCTTCTACGAGTGTCCTATCTTCTACGGAGTATGTTTTAAGTGGTTACGGAATATATTGTAATTCTACACCCTCTATCCTTCAACTTTAGAGCTTTTTTTATAGTTATAATTCCAGTCTTGATTTCTATTGTATTTTTTTTTCAGTCAATCATTTTCAACTTTTGACGTATAATTAAATAAAATTTATAAACTACATTGATTAGATAAAACAATATTTTAAGAATTTTTTTAAAAATAAATCTAATAAGATTAATTTGGTATCAGTACTTAATATCAATTTTATGTAACTGTAGTCACGTTTGATTGATAGTGGTCACCCGGCCAGGGTCTCTTTTTGTAGGGGACCCTAATTTGTTTTTTGTGTGTATACATGCCAACGTGTGTGAGTACAGAATTTGGTTCAAATGGGAATGATGCATAATGAAAGAAATAAGAATGCATATGATCCATTAGATTTAAGATCTAAGTGCTACTCTGTATTAAAAATTAAAAATCTGATAAAATTGGAAAAATTGTTATGGTAATTGTGTAAACAAATCAAACTTTTCTGCCAATGCTGAAAATGCACTATGACAAGTGTAAAATGCATCATGGTGACCTCAAAATAATTTTTTAAAAATTCAATACATACCACAAATACAAATCTCTCGCTCCTCTTTCTTAAAAAACTTATTCAAGTATTTGTTTTTTTATTTTAACATGAATTCCTTCGATTTTAACGTTCCTTCGTCAAGTCTCGAGCCATAGGAAGAAGCGATGTGAATTTTCCAATCATACGCCGGTAATGCATCGATACGCAAATCTCGGTGAATCTCCAAGACCCAAAGTCGGTTCCAGAGACTCGCCCAGAATCAAGTGCACCAAAAAAGTGCACGCTTGAAGAGTCACAAACCGAAGGACGACATGCCGATGATCGAGACGGCATGGTCCATTTCAAAAGTGGACCTCGGAGGAAGAATCGTTGTTGGCCTTCGCTTGGGCTGACGTCTCCGAGCATCCTATCGTTGGTAAACTTTATTTGTTTTTAATATATATATATATATATATATATATATATATATATATATATATATATATAGTATATATGTTATTTCTTATATACTTGTGTTAAAAAAAATTTCCTTCAATTATATTTTTTAAACGTTCTGAGCAAACGAAAGATGCGATGTTGGATCGTATTAAGGAGAAGTTCTTTATAGTGATAATCGTATTAAGGGCTTCAATATTTTCCGTGCTCTTGGAGCATCTTTATATATTCTCCTTTCTTTTTCTCTTCTCTGGTTTTTTTTTCCATTCCACTACATTAGACTTGACAAAAAATAACTTGTCCTATTTTTGACCTGAGACTCAACTCGAAAATACTGTATTTTGAACAAAGATTTTGCTGGTCAAACTTGAAATTATCCATTAAAAATGGGTCAAACCTGACTGTTTAATTATATTTCGTTGCTTACTACCCGTTCTTAATGTATACATTTATATTTTCATACAAAATTTTAATGATACCGCATAATTATCTTATTTTTTTCAAATTTTTTTACATATTTCGTTTTTTATTCATAATATTGACAATCGGTCATAAAATTTACATAAAATTTTAAAAAATAGATGAAAGTCATGACCGTTGGATCGACTCGAAGCCGATGACATTGTGTCATGAACATGTAGCTCCCAACCCGACTGTTTTTCCAGCTCTACACTACCTTACTCTCCTTTTTATTTTTTCTCACACTACTTTAATAATTACTCACACTTTCCCTTTTTTAAAATGATACGGAATATAATTTATTTTATGTACACAATTTTTATTATAATATACCATGATGGTTTATTTATGAGAAATAAATAATATTTATATTTTTAGTTTTAATAGAAAAATATGTTCCACCCCAAATAACTTACTCAACCACTTTAAAGTTTAAATAACTTAACTCCAATTTCATTAGACTTTTTTTTTGAAGAAAAAAAAAGTGTAATGGAATTGGAGCTAACTTATTTAAAGTGGGCTGAGTAAGTTATTAGTCCAATTCCATTAGACCAATTGGCCCTATGAATCAATTATCCCGCGACCTCCCTAGTTCATCAGCCCCTTTGGGCTTTGGATACGCAGTCTCCTGATTCGCCTCTCTCAACTGGCACCTCGCCTCAGCTTTAATCCACGCACCTCCAGCGCTCCTTCAACAGTCAAAATGTAATTTTGTTTTTCCCGAATTCTTCATTGTTTGAATGTATATATGTTCCAGCTCGATGTATATTAAATTTTTCATATTTATTGAATGACTAAACTCCACTATTGGTCCTTCAACTTATGAGATGTGCATGATTGGTTCTTCATGTTTTAAAAATTCATAAATAGTTCTTCAACTCTTTAACTTATGAGTTATGCACGATTGGTCCTACAAGTTTCAAAAGTCCATAAATAGTCTTTTTTCAAGTACACGTCGGCTCCAGATGAAGTCCTTTTGATGGTAAACGTTAAAAGCTAAATGTAGTACTAGCTCCATATAATACGAAGTAGTTGTACCCAGTGGAATATACTCGTATTATATGAAACTAGTATTCTATGTAGCTTTTAATATTTACTGTCAAAATGACCTCATCTGGAAGGTTGACGTGGACTTGAAGGACTACTTATTGAATTTTGAAACTTGAATGACCAATCGTGTACAATTCATAAAGTTGAAGGACTATTCATGGAATTTTGAAACTTGAAGGATCAATCGTGCACAACTCATAAAATTGAAGAACCAATGGTGGATTTTAACCTTATTGAATTGATGCCTTCTCTTTTCATTTTTTTTGCTTATTTGTTAATATTTTTCAATTGATTAAGCTATGTCCGAGGAAGATAATAAAAAATTTGAAGTATATAGTTTATTTATTTGTTTTTGTTTTGAAGTATATTAAAACATTTTTGGCTTTGGGGTGTGATGGAATAAATCAAAATAGATCTCTAAACTGTCTGCGCTTCTTTAATTAATGAAGTAGCAGTTAGTCAAGCAATGCAACTTTCGACGTTGAGCCGGGGGTCTCTTTGGAAACAGCCTCTCTACTTTCGAGTAGGGGTAAGGTCTGCGTACACACACCCTCCCCAGACCATACTCTTGTGGGATTTAACTGGGTTGTTGTTGTTGTTTTGAAGTATATTAAAAATTTTAATTTTTTTTAAAGTATAGGGAGTATTAAAGTTTCATATTTTGAAGCGTATCAAATTTTCCTATTATTGATTCTATTCCAGCCTCTACCTCTGATAGTTTTTTCCCCAACTTTTTGGAGCTGAATTAAAATTCTTGGATTATGACTAGACAGTGTATGTTTATCTCGTGTAAGAATTAAGCTTATCTAAAAAGATGTTTTTTTACTGAAGGATGATGGATCATGTTGTTTTTCTTTTGACAAAACGATGTTGGGTACTTTGATATTTTGTGCTCTTTTTAATAGGATGTTGAAGGATGCTCAATGATGTGCTATTTTTTCTGAAAGACTGTTGTTTTAAATGCTATGCTTCTTAAGGATGTTTTCTTAATTTTTGAAATGGGCAACTTAACAATGTTCTACTTTCTAATGTAATGGATGAAATCTTGTTTCTTTTACTATGAATTTGGCAAACAAAATGGACTTATTATTCCAACTTTTTATTTTATGTTTGGTAAAACCAATTACCAAACCTGTTTTCTTTTGGTTTTTACTAAACCAAATCAATTGGATACGGTTCGGTATTTAGTACAGAAGTACTTTACCAAAATTTCGGTTTACGGACTTTTCCTTCTGTTTTATTATCACCCAATGCCAATGTCCTACACCCCAAACCCTTTGAAGGGAAAGTTACCAGGATTTGCCAATACAAGTCACGCCTCCAATCTAGTACAATTTGCCAATACAAGTCACGCCTCCAATCTAGTTTATATGTTGATGTACTATTTTCAATCTGTTAATTCTTCTCTTGCTTGGAATGGTAAGCTTTGATTGATTTTGTCATTTGTGCCTGTAGTTATGAATTTATAATCAAATGATAATTGTTTGAGCTTGAATCTATGCTCTTAGAAGAGACTAGTGTAGATATAATTAAAAACTCAACAAGGTTTATTTATTTGTCAATATATGATGTTTGAAAATTAAAACCTGAGCTCTTTGGAGCGAGTATGTATCAAATACTAATTCTCAGCGTTGTGAAAAATCGTAGAGTTGATAAACTATAGTGCATATCTTTGAGCACACTGTCATTCAACTTGTTATGCTTGATGTATTAGCTTACTTGGATGGGTTGAGTTTATTGATCATGTTACGAACATGGCTTATTTCTTTATTTATCTTTTTCCTTCTTGCTAGAAAACAATAGGAGACAGTAAAAGCCTGCCAATTAAAGGATGATTTTGGCTATTTCTTGGATTCCCAAAGGTGCATCAAAGGCTGTTCCAGAGGCAGCTGATCCTCCTTCAAAAGAAGATGAGGAGATGCTGAAGAATGCGGTATTGAGGAGATGGTAAAAGTCCTTTGTTCAACCCCTTGACATTCGGATGCCTAGTTAAATTGAGCAGCAATGATGAAATCCAAACTACCCTATATTTTTGCATAGAAATTTAAATGTGCTATTTGGGTTAGGATGTCATGAAAGGAATTCTGCTCGCCTCTAACCCCCTTTGGAGTTGATACGTGATCTCACTTGTGATTTTCGGCGTTTGGAAATATATATATTTTTGGTTCAGAGCTCAACTATTGCCCTTTAAGTTGTCAAAAGAAAGTTGGAAACAGCCTTTCAATTTATCCAATTTCTGGTTTGTTGAAGTAACTATTGAGATATGGGAGAAGTTTTTTCAATGTGAGGAGTAATAATGTAGATTGTAATTTGACCTCCATGATGAGTTACCCTAGAGGTTCTCGCTTTCCCACATCGTGAATCTTAAATGGTTTCTTTGGTTTGCAGTCAATGGAGAGATGTCGATGAAGACGATGGGGATATGGGAAGTGATGCATCTGAAGAGGAGGATGAAGTTGCCCATGCGTTAGCAGCTGCTGATGCACTTGGCATGACATTGAAGGACGCAAAAGCTGAATTTGACGACATAGCAGATGCACTAAAAGAACTGGACATGTATAATTATGATGACGAAGATGATGGTTTTTGATTCCCCGATAATCTTGATAATATTTTCTAAATGGCAATATCGTGTTTGGAGACCTTAATCAGACTTTGCACTGCAAATATTCTTTTTTTATTTTCTCTCTTTATTCTTTCTCCTGTGAATCTAGGTATTGAACTCTTTGGATCGGGTATCGAGAACTTGTATTATCCAAGTAACGACATGGACCCATATTTGAAAGATGATGATGTAGGCTTTCTAACTGCATACTTATTATTTTTCTATACATCTGCAACAGGCTTGCACATTCTTGTTCTTTGGCTTCTTTTTTCTTTTTCCTTTATTTTTTTTTGTAAATTTCTTTTCTTGGCTACTTGGATCTTAACCATCTCATAGTATTCTAAATTGTTGCAACTTTGAAGAGCAGGAGGATTCAGAAGAGCAGGAGGCTTTGATCATAAAGCCTGATGATACTGTCATAGTATGTGCCCAAAATAAGAAAGGTGTTAATTCGTTGGAGGCACGTATTGTTACTTGGTCAATTTATTATGTGGATGCTTGAAGCCTCTAACCTCTTTTCTTTGTTTTTTTAAATTTATTTTGATTTTCTTTGTGTGTGTGTGTTTGAAGTCTCTCTTATGAATTAGCCCACAAAAATATTGAAACTAATCTTACAAAGCAGGTCTGGATACTGGAGGTCGTGGATGGCAAGTTTAACATGTATCCTCACCATTACATCATTATCCCATCTCTTCCTTTGTGCACTGCATGGCTTGATTGCCCAATCAAGGGAGGAGATAGAGGTAGGCTGCTTATGTACTTTCTGTCTTATATCGGCAACCACCCAATTTATGGTTATTTATTCCTTGCATTGCGAGTTCACCCATACAATTTCCGAACATATTTGTTGGCTTTTTATGACAATTCAGTATTCTGACTGTTAGAAGAACATCATTAGCTGTGCATTTAAGCAGTTTTGAGGTTTTATCTCCTCCTAATTTGTTTATACATGCTTGCAGGTAACTTCATTGCTGTTGGCTCTATGCAGGAACCAACCATTGAGATATGGGATCTTGATATTGTATGTGTATTGTGGTTATTACAATAAGTAGAAACACAGACACTAGAATGATTATGCATGAAGTAACTCTATGGAGATGTTCTGATGGATGAGGTGCAACCATCCACTATACTTGGTGGCAATGAAAAGAAGAAAAGAAAACCAAAGAAGGTTTGCATATTATTGTTTCATTACTTTTTAAATCTTATTAAGGGGCCCTGATTTTGTTAAAAAGTACCAAATGTACAATTCATACCATGAAATTGAAAACTTATCCAGACCAGGAAAAAAGGGGACAACCCTCCCAAACACCGCACTGATCCCCTCCTCTTCTAGCTGGAGAGTGAGCAACACTGTTAAAGTTACGACGAATAAAATGAAACGACAGATGTTCAAAAGAAGAAACAAAAGCAAAACAGTCCTGAAGAAGTGAACCAAAGTACGAAGGAAAAGACGAATCCTCAATACTTGCTATAAAGAAAATTTTTGGGGACTTAATTATTTTACCGTTGTTCATGTTGAATTAATTTTTCCTTGAATTCAGTCATGATATATTAGTGATGGCAAATTGGTTTCCTTGCGTTGTGATTCAACTTCTGATGGCTTATATGCACATTGCTTTGGTGTACATTGCTCTGTTCAGAACAGATTTTTAAGTTTTTAAATCATTATTTTGCTCTGTTTGTCTGTGTGTTGTTTATCGATCAAATAAAAGGATGGAAGGCACCCTGATGCAGTACTAGGGCTGGCCTGGAATAAGGAATACAGGTATTTGAAGTCAATATGTTGGTTTGATTGTTCAGAAAGATATTACTAGAAGATGAACTAATTCTGTTTTGTATAAATAAACATTCCAGGAATGTGCTTGCCAGTGCAAGTGCTAACGGATTAGTCAAGATCTGGGACGTTTCAACTGGTACATGCAGTATCACCATGGATCATCATGCAGCTGAGGTGAGGATTTCATATTTTTTTGAAATTCTTTGCTAGTTTTTTGAAATACAATGTGTGAAGGCGATGTGGGGCTTGTGTGATTCTTAGGGTGTGGTTTCCTATGTCTTTGCAGGTTCAGGCTGTTGCCTGGAATCCTGCTGAGCCCCAAGTTCTTATAAGTGGATCGTTTGATCATTCAGTGGTCCTAGTATGTACACTTCTCTTTTGTTTTGTTATTAAAAGTATGCTATCCATTTGGTTCCCTAGAAGTATAAGACATTGCAATTCAAATTTTCTGTTTGATGGCAGATGGATGGAAGGAACCCGTCTCATAGTGGATTATACTGGTCAGTTCCTGCTGATGTGGAAAGCTTGGCTTGGGATCCGCACAATGAGCACTCATTTGCGGTATGTTTTCGAATATCATCAGTTTTTTTTGGGTACACTTTTATCTACCTAGTGGGATAAGGCTTTGTTGTTGTTGTTGTGTACACTTATATCTCATACTTACTCCATCCAACAATAATGTTCCACAAATGACTAGGCACAGAGACTAAGAAAAAGAAATGTGTAACATTATTGTGGGATGGAGGGAGTATGTATTTGGTTGACATGTTTTATAAACAAGTGAAATGTCATGTGATACACAATTGATTGATGACTATAACTGGACTTATTGCCTTTTTGCTTCCCCCAATTTACAGGCCAGTCTCAAGAATGGTACAGTAGTTTGCTTTGATGTTCGAACAGCTAGCTCTGATGCATCTGCTGACCAAAAACCAAGTTTCACTCTGCATGCACACGACAAACCAGTTAGCTCCATCTCGTACAATCCAGCAGTGCCCAATGTATGTGTGGGCCTCCCCCCTGTTTTAAGTAATATATTTTGATGCACGAATGTTGTTACACTAACATATTTGCGATCATATTTACAGCTTCTTGCAACTGGTTCAACGGATGAAACGGTATAATATCCTACTTTTGTTGTTTCTTTTTAATTGTTAGTATTTGGTAGCTAGACTCTAATGCAGGAGAAGTTCATCCAAGTTTTGTCTCGCTTCTGCTGCAGGTGAAAGTCTGGGATCTTTCCAACAATCAACCTTCCTATGTTGCTTCGAGGGACCAAAGTGCAGTATGTTTATATCATTCTTTAGTATTTACAAAACCGTGACGACACTGGGATGCAAATGGTTTTCAGTTTTTAGGTAAAAAAGCACAGGTTCTTTGTTTTTGCTGAGATTTTGTTCTAAACTTGTTATCAGGGACATGGAGCCATCCTTTGTGTTTCCTTTTCTGCTGACCATCCATCTTTGCTAGCCATAGGAGGTTCCAAGGGAAAATTACAAGTAAGAATGTCAGCTTTTGCAATGAATCCTCCCAATATTCCATAAGCCCTTAATTTAATCATCTTTCTTCATGACAAAAAAATGCAGTTATGGGATATGTCATCAGACGCCGCCATTGCCAAGAAGTTTGATAAACATTTGAAACAGAGAGGACCTCTTGAACCCTGACAGTAATGGGATCCAAAATGTGTATGTAGAATCTACATCATTTGCCCTGTCTCCAGCCGCACCAGTTCAGTAAGTCCGAAGTGTTGGGACTGCGCGTGCCCTCACCCCAACCCCACATTAGTATGATATTGTCCGCTCTGGGCTAAGCCCTCACGGATTTGTTTTTGGGCACCTCCCAAAAGGCCTCATACTAATGGGATTGGGTGAACCTATATATTTTGGTCCAATTTTTCTTCTCCCTCCGGTGTGGGACTTGGAGGAATCCCAACAAACCTCCCCTCATCCAAGGACCACACAACTTCTGACCTCCCCTCCAGCAGTAATCTATTTTTCCTTTTTATCTGCCCTCACATCTTGCATCGCCACACACTCTTTGCGGAACACGCCGCCCGACCCCCTGTCGGGAAGACTTTCGACGCAAGGCTCGAACCGCAGATCTTTCTTTCGCTGGGCTACACCATTTGATCCGCCAAATCATCTTGTACCGCCGTGGCTATAACTTCACGGGACACGCTGCCCGACCTCCTCTTGTCGGGAAGACTTTCGACACAAGGCACCACCTGCGGATCCTCTTTCTTGGTCTTGGTCCTATTGTTACACCGTCACACCGAGATTTTTCCACACTGCACAGTCCGTTGCTCCCGCCCGCAAGAACCTGGGCTCTGATACCACATATTGGGACTGCGCGTGCCCTCACCCCAACCCCACATTAGTATGATATTGTTCGTTCTGGGCTAAGCCCTCACGGATTTGTTTTTGGGCACCTCCCAAAAGGCCTCATACTAATGGGATTGGGTGAACCTATATATTTTGGTCCAATTTTTCTTCTCCCTCCGGTGTGGGACTTGGAGGAATCCCAACACGAAGTATATCATCTCTTACATCATATGATTAGTTTTATTTAACTATGATTAATAATTATATTCTATATCCTTATATAAGTTTATTTTAGACGCATCTTGATAACTTTGCTTCATTATTTAATTTATTTATTTCGTCGCTTGTCATGTAGAATGAATTTTTTCTCAATGTATATAAATTTTAAATAGCTTTAGCTTTGCTAAATTGAGTAAGGTATGTGCATCACCTAGATAAAGAGGATAATTTAGTAATTAAAATTACTCTTTTATTAGTTAACTAGAAACTAATATCACACCCCTACGTTGCATTGATCAGATTAACGTTACTAAATCATATTAAGATGTTTTTTAAAAGATACAAATTGGCATATAATGGAATATAAAGTTTCCATAATTTTAAAGTGCAAAAGTTAAATGATTTACAAATTTTGAAAAACTTCTTTATTAACTACATTAGTCGCACAATTCGTGGAAACGATCTCTTTGTTGTACATCAAAATCTTCTAGTCATTAGAATTTTTTTACTCTTGAAACTGCAACATACAGTTGTCTATGACTAAATACTGGTTTCCATGATAGTAATGTAATACTCTCTTTGCAGTAATGATAAACAAAATTTGAATTAGAGTCTGAGTTCTCTACTTTGTTCGATCTCTTTGGCAATGCAAGAAGTAAATATTAGCATCATTATAGCGTTGTGAATGTCATATGTCTTGAAGGTCCATTTTAATTAACCAACTAACCTCTGAATGCTTCCATGGTGTGTTTTCAAAGAATATGGTTACTCTGTACTTTCAAAAACCTATGTGCTAGAGCATGCCGAGATAAAAAGCTATTGAAAACGCATAAATATCTGAGCATAACGGATAAGCTTTAAGCCTTCGATAAATCCCCTTTCTTCTTAAGGTACTATGTTAAAACAAACACGAGGAAACTTCAGTCGCCTAAATGTCAATGAAAAGGAAGTAAAATATAGATGCAGAGTAATGACAGATACTAGTAGAAGTCAGCATATCAACAACCTTTGAACATCTCTTCATATGAAGGCGTTGTTCATCAGACTTCAGGCATGTTCAACACTAGTGGCCTGGAGAAGACCCTCGCGAATCTGGGATGCGATGTCTTTCACAGCACCTGGACCGTGGGGAATGAAGACAGCAGATGACTTTGAGGATGATCCGATCTCCTTCATCGTGTCAAAATACTGTGTCACCAGGACCATGTCCATGATGTCTTTCGCCGTTGTCCCAGGAACATTCTCTGAGAAAGCAAGGACACTGTCCCTTAGCCCGTCCACGATAGCTTGGCGCTGGCGGGCAATGCCCAGCCCAGACAAGTATTTTGACTCTGCTTCCCCTTCTGCTTTCTTGATCTGAAGTATCTTCTCAGCTTCAGCCTTTTCATTCGCGGCAACCCTGAGCCTTGCAGCTGTTTGTTTATCACAGGCGCATAGAATTAATTATACTACATAATCAAATTCAAGTATAAAAAAAATACAGAGCTCCCATTTGGTAGGAGTTATTTTATTTATTTACTTATTTTAAAAATGAAAAGCGTTTGCCCAACAGCCTACTTATGCTGCATAATAATGCCTGACCAGAGAGAATCAAAACTCAGGAAAAAAGTATCATATGAAAGGCATTCGTCTAGACACTCAAGTATTATGAAATTCAACATGCGCCGCAGAAAAAAACTGAGTTAGGTGCACGGCTATCATTATCAGATCATTTTAACTTATGGTGCATGGCCATGAATTTTATGCTGCCTTAGGTTGGAAAGAATAAGAGTGGCAAGAAACTCATACTCTACACCAAAAGTAAAAGAAATGAAATGTCAGGAACCAAGAATGAAAATTTTTCTTTGCAGGCATGCAAAAGGTTGTTATGCAAACCATTGCTAATGAAATATGCATTTGGCCAAACGTACAGAGAGAGAGATATATAGAGAAAGCTTACCAGCATTTATCTCATTCATAGCCCTCTTCACATGAGTATCGGGCTCTATGTCCACAATGAGGGTCTGGACAATCTCAAGGCCATATGCAGACATAGCCTGCAAAGTGCACCAAAAAGAGAAAAAATAACTCTAAATATAATGGTGTAGATCAATGTATCAAAATCAAAGTGTGATTTCTTAGGAGTCGGTATCATCACCTTCTCCAGCTCTTCCTCAACTGCTTTGGCTATATCATTCTTCTGTTCAAATGCAGCATCCAAGGTCAACCTCGGAACACTGGCCCTTATCACTGCCCCACCAACAGCAGGCATTAGTTATAACTTATAACTGCTATGCCCATATGCTAAAAATCTTATGCAAAACTATATAGACACAAACATCTTGTGTATACTTCCTAACAAGAAAATAATACTACATCCATCCCAAGAAAAAAGTCTTGTTTCAAATACCTTTTTTACCCCCACAAAACAGCCCATTTTCATCGAATGAAACTAATTTTCACGTACTTTGCAGAGGGAAAATAGACAAAAGTATAGATAAGTAATACATGATTAAATTAGTTAAAATCAAAGAACAAATCAAAAAAGTATAGGTATGATTAATTATTTATGATAAATCATAAATGTACCTCACCGAACCTAAAAACTTATACTTTGGTCAAACATTAATTTTTTGGGATGGAGTTCTTAGAATAGTAACTGGAGTCACTGGGTAGAGTGTGCTATTTACAAACCAACAAAATGATAAAGTGAGAGTCGTAAGCAAGCAAAGATTACAACAGAAAACTGAGTATAATCCGAACAAGCAAGCAAACATTACATAGCCATGAAATTAGAAGGTGACAGTTAACAAGGAAGAAAAGCATTGACAGTTCCTACCATCAAAGACGTAGGACTGGATCTGTGATTTTGTGTTTGAAAGCTTATAAAAAGCATCAGAAGCTTTCTCAGCCAAAACTCGGTACTGAATTGATGCCACCACAGTCACAAAGACATTGTCCTGTAGAAGTAAAGACCAACACATCCTGAATCATGACTATATATCACTCTGTGTAAACAGTAAAATGAGATACTCTGCCCTAAAATAAATTTTGTACTTTCTTTTTCCATTCGTTTCCCTTCAACTACATTTTTCAACATTTTTCTTAAACTTCGTGAAGTCAAACGTTAAAGTTCTTTTTTGGGATGGAGGGAAAATATAGTAAGCCCGATCGCCAATCAAAGGTTACCCACCTTCTGGAATTCAAAATAAAATACCATCTATTTCCCAACAAAAATGTCTAAGATGTTCTTCTAGCAACACGCAATGGAACAGATTCAATATTACAGAATAATAACTAAATGATAGGGAGTATTCATAACATTCCAAAAAGTACGCACACACACACCCCATGGGTAAACGCTACAACGGTTGAATCACATAAACAAGAAATATTTAACAATACATCAAATATTACATCAGGTTCCACAACCTAACAAGTTGTGCCTACAAATTCAAAAGTATAAGTAGGATTGATAATCTATAAGAGGTGGTATTTTGGTATTTTGGGATGGAGGCGGTACTAATTACTAGTAGCTTTCGAAATTGTAATTCTCTACTCAGAGAAAAAAAAACCCATCATTTTTCAACATAAAGAGAAAACTGATGAGTACCTTTGTTTTTGTTTCACAACGAACATCAATCGGTTGGACACGCAGAGAGAGGGTGCCAGCAGCCCTGTAGCCGAAACACCAAGGAACACAATGACACCCAGGCTCCATCACTGAATCATATCTTCCAAAGTGCTCCTTCACAACCGCATTTGACTGATCTACTTGCAGGCACCCAAATGTTTGACCCATCCTTCAAATCTACAAAAACACCACTATAAACTTTCATCACTTTGTAATTTTGGATCACAGATTTAGCACAAAGAGTGCATCCAAACTGTTAGTTCCATGTTAGATTCATACAATATGTTACCGAGTAATAAACCTTTCAACGATCATTATAGCAACTAGGGGCGGGCACGAAAACCGTTCCCCGTTGACCCGTTCCGAAACGTGCCGGAACCGTTTTGAAATTGTACCTTTTTTTTTGGATTCAAATTTTTTTGTCCCGAACCCGTTCTGTCCCGATTTTAAGTGAGACATTACCAGGATAACATACAAGTGTACCGTTCCATCCCGTTTGTGCCGTTTTATATACTCTTCTAAAAACATTATATATACGGAGTATATATATGTATGTATATATATGTGTGTATATATATATGTGTGTGTGTGTGTCTATATATATATATATATATACATATATATATATATATATATATATATATATAAACACACATATATTACTCCGTACATATCTCGTGAAACATTTTGAGTACTTAACAATTAATACTTGTTGACGTTGTTGTAGCATTTATTTTCAATCTTTTTGTTTTCAATTTTTATTATTGTCCTAAAATTAGGAAAAAGTAGGACAATCCGAATCCGTTCCGTTTTGTCCCGGTCCCGAAAATTATGGGACAAAGTGGGTTAGGCTTGTGGTTCGAACCGTTCCGAACCGTTTGAATATAACGGGACAGGACGCGGGATTGTAAGAAACCCGAACCGTCCCGACCCGTGCCCACCCCTAATAGCAACTGAGACACTCAAGCTACGCTAATTTGACAGTTTATATTGCATAAAATCCACAAAAACGTGGCCGAGAAGAAGTTATTCAACGGAAACTCGAGGTATAACAGATCACTGCCAGA